GAATTTACCTCGCAAAGGCACCTCGAGAAGTTGGTATGAGAATTCCGTTCAACGAAAGATTACATATATAAATGTACAAATGTGCATAATGAAAAGCATGCCAATAGTCAAGTGTATTGAATATATATTTTAATGCATTTACATATTTTACATTCAAGCTCAATTTCACTTTCCACATGAGAGTTAACTTCAATAAGCTTATAGAAACAACACCTAAATCAGCCCACCAGCCGGCACCTACAGTGGCTCCAAAACAATGCACAAAATCAACCAAAATCGGCATTTACAGTTGCTTCAAAACAGTGCATAAAATCAGCCCAGACCAGCACCTAAAGTGACTCCAAAACAGTGCGCAAAATCAGCCCAAAACAGTCCCCAAAACATCATTTAATTATCCTCCAAACAACATTAAAACAACAAGTAAAATACCCCAAAATCAGCATTTAAATGGGGCACAAAGCCCCTAAAAAACAGTAAATGAATTAGCACCCGGATGACATATAAAGCCTCCGAAACCAACCATTTATAGTGTCTAAACGGTGAAAAAGTCGAGGCAAAACAGTAAGAATGACAAGCTAGAACGACATTCTTCTTCCACAACAATAATATCGATCCACTGACCAAGAAAAATTAAATGAAGATTTGAATGCATACCCCACAATTCCTATGTATTAACATTTCCGACATCTAAAACTTTATTTTATACATTTACACGAACCAATTCATCCCTATCGCATAAGAAAAACTATCAACTTAATTTTTAAACAGTGAAATGCACCATTTCATGCATAGGTTTAAAAATACTAGAGTGCATTGTATGTAGACATTAAATTTTAAGTGAGATATGTAAATGCATAATGTTAGTGCGCTAGGTATGTAAATGTCCACCAAAGAAAGATATAAATAATAAAACTAAGCTAGGGAGGTGTTAAATCAGTCATTAAGTCATGTCCATCTCAACATTGGTTGATAAAATTTATATTCAAAAGTTTAAACAGAACCTTAGCTTTGATTAGCTTTGATGCAGGTTTAAAGTTTAAATTTAAATACATTTAGCTTTGATACAAGGTTAAGGTTGAATACATTCAACTTAGTATTTAACTTGTATCTAGTGTTTGAATCTAAACAAAATTTAAGTTGTATTTAAAGACAAGTTTAAAGTTAAATGTATTTAAATTTAAAACTTCACACTACCAAAGCTAAACGGAATTGTGTCTACATTTAAATACTAATTCTGTTTAGCTATTTAAATTTAAATAGAACTTTAACTTTGACTAAACAGATTCATCATTCTTTTCATCGAAATTGCATCAAAGCTACACAAAGAGGATAGTGAAGAGGATGATGACAAAGGTTCTAGCTTTTGGCTACATTTAAATTCAGTTAGAGAAGAGAATTCTGTTTGGCTAAGTTTAAGGGACAGATTCGCCACAAGTCGATGTTCAAAGAAATCAGTAGCTAAAAGAAAATTGTGTTTGACTCAAAGAGGATCTTCATAAATATCACTTAAATTCTGTACGCAGTCACTGAAGAATAATGGTAGATTTACATACATAACACACAAAAACTTATATACATTTACATATCTAATATTCAAACTATAATTTTGACATACGTATCACCTTAACTTTTCATAGAAAAGAGATATTTTAACTGTAAAAGATAGGTAAATGTATTATCTTATTGCAACAGAAAAAAATTTATATAGTGCATATTTATGTGAAAGTTTTAGGTTTTAGATATGTAAAAGCAAATGAATTGAGTGGGCATGTACGCAAATCTTCCTATATGGACTGTATTGTATAATTAAAATGAGCAAGTATGGGAATAAAATAAGACTTCGTTACCCAATTACTGCAATTGCTGAGGTTCTGTGCTCCAAGCGTTTCAACAGCTCGAAGAAGTCGTGTTCCTTGCTCTTCTACCTCTGCTACCTCCAACCTGCTACCTCCAATTCGAATTCGGGTGAGACGGGCGAGAGAGAGGGTCGACCGAGCGATCCTGGTAGAGAGAAAGAGTGGACTCCAGCGAGAGGGATGTGTTCGCTCGAGAGAGACGGTGAGCTTAGCGGATTTGTTCGCGAAGAAGTGAGGGGAGGCGAGCGTTTAGTGCTTCGATCGAAAGAGGGGAGGCGAGTCTTTCGGTGGAGTGAGGAGGCGAGCTCAGAGCGAGCCGAGAGAGGAGGAGGCGAAGCAGGCAAGTGGGGGTTTCGGTGTCGAGCGGGAGAGGCGAGCCGGGAGGGAGGAGGGAGTTGAGGAAGAGAGGAGGCGTGGTCTATGGCTTCGGTGCGGGAGATCGGGAGTCGAGCGGGGGACTTTAGTGCAGAATGAAGGAGTCGAGCGAGAGGAGGAAGAGGCGAGGTGCAGAGAAGGGATCAAGCAAACGTGCTTCGATGTAGAGGGAGGAGAGACGAGCGTGAGTAGAATAGAGGGGCGAATCAGGCGTCAGTTTCTGGGTGAGCGGGATGTGCCGAGAGAGTGGGAAGGCGAAACAGTTGAGTACGGGATTTTAGTGTAGGGGCCTCTGTCGAGAGGAAGAGAGGAGGCGAGCGGTGCTTCGACGCAGAGAGGGAGGTTTCTTTGGCTTCAATCGAGCGAGGAAGAAGCAGACGTGATAGGAATCGAGGGGCCGAATTCTCAAAGGCAGGAGTTGAATGCCGGGAGGAGCCGAATGCCAGGAAGGTGAAGGCCGCTGAATTGTATAGCCGAGGGACTAGGCGGGGAATTAAACAAATTTCATTCATGGAGCTGGGTTCAAATGGAAAATCTTAACTCTCAAATAAGATGAAATTAAATGACCAATTTTAAATTCAGAATTGTTTAACCCTTGTGCAGCTTGAGTCTAGCCCGAATCAAACCCGAGTTGAACTTGGGTTGAGCCCGGGCCCGCGTCCCGCTAATTTAAAAAACGTGCATCGATTTTCGTGTTAATTGCTCGCGCGTGGAATTATAGCAATATAGGTATCCTTTCTAGCTAAAGTCGACGTTGTGGACACGCTGGCGCTGCTCTTTTTGTCATCTGGGGTCGTCCGGACGAGTTCGCCGACGGTCGGGCCGAAAATGTGTCAAATTGTGGTGTCTGTGAGTGCTCGAGTCACGAAGGGTTTATCTTGGGCCGTCTGATCCTATGGGAACTCATTTTTGGGCCCTCTACATGTTAGTCCTTAGCCCTTGCAACTAAGAGTTGAGTGCTTGGTACTACTCATGCGAGGTCTGCACAAAAACGAGTCAAGAAGTGACTCGGAGTTCTATGGGAGGTGGGCTCTATTACTAGTCCGCTAGGATTATCAATAAGAACTCATAAGGCTAGATTTTGGGTTCTGGGAGGAGGAAACTAAGACTTCACTGGAAGTGAGGTCAACAAGCCCTTAGACGTAGTTAGACTACATTCACTATCACACCCACCCTAGTTGATAGATTTATGATATTTTGATCGAGTCAATCTCCATAACTTCAAATACCCACCACTCAATTTAGTTCGCAACTAACTACAAAATCTAAATTTAAAATTTGAGCTCAAGTAGTCTCCTTGATCAATAGTGTTCTTTGACAAGCGGCTTGGCTAAATAGTGAGAAAATATCAAATGGTCATCTTACTCTTTGTCATGGGTCATTTTAATCTTAGTTTATGGAAGTGTCAATTTAGTCACAAGCTTTTTAATTGGAGGATTATTTTTGTCTCTATTGAAAGAGACTGGGGAATAATTGGACACTTTTATAGACTCCCGAGACTGAAATAATCTCATATACATAGTCAGGGGACAATTTTAGCACTTTATTTTGCTAATTAATTATGGGGATTTGCTTTTATACGGGATCTTAACCCATATCTAAATAAACCCTCATCTAAATATTAGAAAAAATCAGGTTAAAATAAAATTAATTATCCTTAGCCTTTATTTTTCTCTTATTTTTCCACCGCGGCTCGCAGCTATGGTAGTTGGCTTCTCCTTAATGGTTATTTGTAGAGCAATTTTCCAACTCTACTAGAGTAATATTGATTTTATTTTCTGCAATCAAATGAAAAATTATTTTGTGAATCCAAATTGCTTTTACATCTGAAAATATGGAACCTGAATTGTTATATTGCATACCCTTCTTTATTTGATTGTGTTATGGTAAAAGTTTCTGCTTTACAAGCCCCATTAATTAAGGCTAACTTGATTTATAATAGTAGTTCCTGTGTGTTTAATGTGGCCTAGTTATGAATTTTTTCTACAAAGATAGATATTTTAGATCTGTCGTTTGTTACAAATAGAAACTGTAGGTATTCTTATGATTTACTATTTTCTTGGGAAATCTTGCATATGTTAATATATGTCTCTGTGCTTCACTGCTTTCCCCTCACATTCTTAACCCCTCCAGCGCTCCAGAGAGAGAACAAACACTATCTGCCAACATCATTAAAGTTGATGGGCTACTTCTTTCAGCTTTTTGGCTGTTAATATGAAATTTGTTACAATGTGATTCTTTGTTTTTTACCATTTGACCGTGCCATCTTTTATTATTATTATTATTGAGATTTTGAATACAGCTGGCCTGTTGTGTTGGAAGATCTAAAGCTTATTTATTTACTTTGTGTTGCCTTCCAATGATTATAATTAGCTTCGGGATGATAAAATTCACTGAGGAAATTTTCTTAGGCTCTTAGATTTTATATGACACTTATACTAATAAAATGAAATATAGAGCAATGTAACAACATGTTATAAATTGTATCCAAGAGAAGTATATCTTTGCTGCTATTGTTCCATTCCTTGTCATATTTTGCATGTTTCTGTTGAAAATCAACCAACCAAAATGTACCAATGCATCATTTTTACCTGATCCTGCAAACTTTATGAGGGTGCAGTTGTATGGCTTTGCATGCATGCATTGTGCATGTATGTATTTCGATTCATCTCTTTTATTAGAACTTGCAAATAGATTGGAATAACATTCCTCTTTAACATTTTTGTTTTTTACTACTGACTTTTACTTTTCCTTCTGCCCTTTTATCAGGTGCGTAAAATGACTAATGAGACTGGCCTGGATTTCAGTGATCAAATTAGTCTATTGGAAAAAAAGTATCAAGAGGTTAGCTTCCCAGAAGTTCTTTTTGTGCTTCAGTTCCCTGGATGTAGAGAAAGAAAAGAACGGTATCTAGTTTTGATTTCACTGTTGTTTGTTGCCTTCATGATGGATGAGTATGCATTTAAGTGTTTCCTCGTATGTATTCTTGATATACTACTTCAATCATGCCTGTAGACTGGTTTGCATCACTTGATGTGTACTATTTGTAGATGATAAAGTTCTAGTTACTGTGATTTCTTCTGAACTAAATGTTATATTTGTTCTTAAGTTTGGTTTCTTTTAAAAAAGTGAAAATTTTTTATCAATGGAATTATCATGTCTATTATGTTGTCTTCGAGACTAAATCGGTAATTGTTAATTAATATTGCTGAAAGATTTGTTGTTTTCTTGTTCATAGACAGAAGAATTAGGATATTGATACGAATGTGATTTCTAAAATTATAACTAATTGCAAAAATATGAAAGTATCTTATGACTTTTATGCAATAATAGAGTACCCTGGGGACCTATAAGTAAATTTTATAAAAGTAATGTTATGTTTTATGGAATAAGTATTGGCTATTAATAGCCAAGTTGATTGTGGTAGAAATATAAATATTTAGATCAATGAGTGGTAAAGCTACAAAGGATAGACGTAAAAAGAAGTCTATTCGATTAATTTTTGGACATGTCCCTACCCTATTAAAATTAAAGTAATGGAAAATTGATTTAGATGGATTAGCTATTTTTGGACATGTCCCTATATATTAAAATTAAAGTAATGGAAAAATTTTGGACATGTCCCTATCCAATAAATGGTCGAAGATCCACTGAGAAGCTGAATAATTAAAAATACCCTGTAAATCTTAAGAAATAAAACAGGTATGCCAAAGGTATCTTAGTTAAAATTTTTGGAATAAACTTTTTGTAAAATAAATTTGACCCATTTCACCCAATCGGCATGAATGGGGATTGATTTATATGGTAAACGCTAAATTGTAGGCATAGGGCTAAAAATGTTGATAGTGATGAAGATGATGATAGATCATGGTTTTGGGCACGCTATTCATAGAATAATTTAAGGTTGCCCTATTGAACTTTCTAGGAGCACATAAAAAGGGTGTAGTAATCCATTAAAAACTATCCATATTTCATGCCTATCATTTGTAACTCTCATTAAATGTAACTCTTAACATGAGTGAATTGTGTCCAATATGGAAGTCTAACCTAATAGTTTGAAATAATCTATTTTGATTGGTATTGATCCTATACTCTTTGATCTTTGATATATGATTCAGAAGCGGAACACAAAAATTCTAGTTTATCGGCAATCTTCTCCCAGCCTATGAAATCAAAAGACTATTATTGTCCAAGTGTTTGTTTCTTTTTTTCACTTTTTTAATTTGGTTCTCTCTCTTTGTTATTATCAGCATAATATTTTTTAAAATTGCACTTTTTCCTAAATTTGTATGACCATAAACATTATTGTATTACCATAGTTGCCATCTCTTCCTAGATGTATTCCAATCGATGAGGTGGATATAATATATCATCCATCTAGTCATTATCATTAAAGTTGTCTTTTTTATATAGATTGAGAGGACTATAGAGGCGTGTTGACCTCGCTTTCGGTCGAGGTGTAGTTTTCCCCTCTTTAGTAGCTTAGGATCTAGCCGTAGGACCTTTCTGTCGACTACTTTTAGAAAACTAGTGAGGGAGCCCTCCCCGTTAGCGATTGTGAACTTTTATTCGCTCGACTTGACGTTCCATGTGGTAGTCTTGACCGCTATTTCTTAGCAGGTAAGACTACTTCGAAGGAACTCAGGGAGCATTCCTATAGGACTGCCGGCCTTAGGATTGACTTTACTCGTTGATTTGGCGCCGCTGCGCTCTTCGCCGTCATCTTTAATCGAATTCGAGTCAAAATTTTAATATGATTCGAACCGCTACGCGTTTTTTTAACCCGATCGACGACGATGTTGCCCGGACGACTCCGGATAACGAAACGAACTGCGCCGATGCGTCCGAAACATCAATTTTGCTTAGGGGACATTCGTTTCATTGCGACGGCGCGTCTTGAGCAAAATAACTATTTAAGTTTTAATTATAATAATAAATAATATTTTATTATTATTATTATTATTAACTTATATTAAAATCCTTAACCTAAATCCATCTCCCTCGCCTCATTCCCTCGAACCCGTGGGCCTGCCTTAGCCCTAGGATGACTCGTTCGGTCGCCCGGCCTGCTCCTTCGTGCCGTTGGGGGGGTTTCGTTCCCGCGTTCGCCTCTCGCACGCTAGGCAAGTCTTGCAGACGCCCATCCCTCGTATCCTATCTTCTGCGTTCTGAGTTCGATCTTCTCTGTCGTGGATCGTATCCTCTGCGAGGATCTAATCCTCTGACTCTCTCGATCCCTCTGCCGTATCTTCTTAATCATTCTTCTCCTACTTTATTAGAGCTTGGTTTTTTAGCCCTGAGGTAATGCCAAAAATTTTTCTAAGGAAGGAAACCCTGCCATTTTTCTTTCTCACTAACTTTTTGATTTTCTGGTGCTTGAATTGGTTTCCTCTTGCTGTTGGAAGAGGAATTGAAGTTGGGGAGTGCCTTTAAAGTTCATGTGTTACTTTCTTTCTGCTTTAAAGAGGTACCTTTCTTCCCCCCCTCTCTGCGCCTTGCTTCCTTTCGGTTCTCTCTCTGCCGAGCCACTGAAAATGACTCTGTTGGATGGTACAACATGCTAGTTTATTATTGTGCCTATACTTGAGATATTTATTACTTGAGCATGTGAAAATAGAACGGCAAACATGTTTTAGGGGTTGGACATGGTTATTTGCTTAGGATAGTGAGAATGTGGCATGTTTCTATTCATTATAGCATATTTCTATTGGAAGCAATTAGGAGGGTTGAAACATGGCTTTGAGGCAATGTTAGCTCTTCTTGCAAGCATGTTAGGATATGTATCATGAAGCTTTTCATTTATTCTTATCTAGCATGAGATATTGGAAGGTTTATTTGGTCTTTCACGCATGTGGGAGCTCGGTTTTGGCTCCCTGTGGCTTTTCCTTGCTCGAAATGCATATTATGAGAAAAATTTATTTAATTTGGAAAGTCCTGTAACTTGCTTGGATGGCTTGACTTAGCTCCTCGTGGGGCATCCTTTTGCTCAAATATCCGTTGGGAACTGTTTCATGCTTGGAATTGATAAAAACAAATTTGATAAGAACAAATATATCTTTTTCTAAAACCAAAATACCCTTTTTGCTACAAACAAAATTGATACAACCTACTTTTTGCATGTTTGAAACTCATGTGCATGCTGAAAACATAAATTTTAAATATATTTTTAAACAATGGTTGTCCACCTGTTGACACCTGTTTAGGCTGAGGAGTACCCTCCTGAGTTAGGTTCGATAGAATTTTATTTTCCTATTTATTTGCACCCAACTTCCAACGGGTGACCGAGTAGCCTTCGACAACCCTCGAGTACTAATATATAGTTGAGCCTAGTCCTAACCCGAGTGCTTGCGGTCGCTCTCTTTTCAGACTTTTTCTTATGTTCTTCTTGAAATGTTGGGACAAAGCACTCGTGGTCTCTTTTCGGGATTTTCCTCGTGTTTTCTACGATTTTAATCGATTTGTGATTCGTCGATTTCCTCGTATTTTTCTTATCGTGAGTCTTTTGACGATCTTTCTCGAGATTTCTGGACGATGTTTCTTTAAAGCATTTCAGCATGCTTCCTAAAGTTTTGTTGCTTGTACCTGTTGCATCAATTACACCTAAGGAATAACAGATCTCACAGGCATACAAGTTTGTTTTATGTTTACAACATATTATTCTCTTATAATTACTTCCCTGCTGTACCTTTTACTTTTCTTTACACCGCATGTTGTACTGCTTTCTTTACTGCATACTCTAGTGTTTGTCCTGTGCTACAAACTCTAACAAACTCTACTGTCATGCCATACACTGTATAACTTCAACATGTTATTTATAAAATATTTGAAGAACTCAACCATAGGGCCGTTGGATTTGATATTATAATCTGACACCCTAGAAAACTCAAACTCGTCATGACAAGTCACGTCAAAGAGCTTGGAACTAGCGCGGTGGGCAGCACGACCATCTTCAACAGCAGAACATGTATTCCCCAGCTAAACCATTCTTTTCTTAGAAATTAAAATAACAATCCATAAGATTTCGAGGTTGTTCGCCTAGCGCAACATAAATCCTCAACCTTTTCGTTAGGTATTCTTATAGCTCTGTTGTACGATGTAAACCCTAACTTTTTTAAGACTTCGAAGTTGTCATCCGTCACGACCTAATTCCTCACATTTTTCAGGCTATTTGTGTGATCGTTTCACACGAATGTAAGCCTTACATAAATAAAATTGACAGGATAAAACACTTGAATATTTCTTCTTGAAACTGAAGCCAAATCATAGGGTAGACTGAGAAGTCACCGAAAATCTCCTCTAGATCTGTGACATCCCCTAGTTCTTCTTCATTTGAATTTTGTAATAAATGTTCCAAATTTGAGCCATTCCCCTTTCACACCTCCTTGTCCAATTTCGTTGAAAAGTCTCATCCTTTTGAAGTCTTTGAAGATAATTTTTCCTGATTTTTATCGAGAGTATTCTTAAGTGATTTCAGTCATTTAAGATGTAATTAACTATAAGGGTTTGCCCTTATAGGAAGTTTTTCCAAACTGAGCTTAAAATAAACCCTATTTAATTTTTCATATTAAATAGGGGAATTTGTAGGCAAATAAAACGGTTTCGCAGACCAAACGGACGTCATGTATTTCTTAGTTTATTTGATCAAGCCTCATCCTCAAGTCTTGTGTTTATCCCTCGGGATAGATACAGAGTTTGAGGTAAAACGCTCTTTCATTTAAACTATGAAAAATATGTGTCAGTTTGATTTTCATATTTGATTTTAAACTTAAATCTTCATATAAATTAAAACGTCCTACCGAAGCGGGCGTCGAAATTTCGATTCTGGTGACCGACGGTTTCTTACG